TTACTAAGAAAAAATTGAAAATTTGTTATACTTATAAATATTTCTAAAAGAGTTGAAATTTTATTATAATATAGGTATTGAAAATAATAATTTGGAAATTTCAAGTACATAGGTACTTATCTTATTATTTTTGGAAATACAACAAAATATTAAAAATTGTATGAGGAGAAATAAGTATTTTACGGGTGAATATTTAAACATACACTCCATTTTTCACTAGTAATAATTTGATAATTAAGTAAGCATTAACTAATAGTGAGTCACCGGCTATATAGGTAGTCATGACATTTTATCTATCGGACTCAATTCAAAGTTATTAAGATAGTAAGCTGGACTCAATTTAAACACATAAAAGTAGCATGGACTCAATTCAATATCACCGGAATTTTTGACGCATGAATAACAATCGACATTCCCACGACTGGCGTATCGTGTATGTTACATATTATATAACCCATGTACTTACTAGGTCGATACCTATATGACATTTACTGGTAATGCCCTTGGAAAACTCAGAATGGTATCATTCAAAAATTATTAATTACTGGTCACTATTGAGCTTCCTGATTGTCAGTAGATGTGACACAACACTCAAGTCAAAGGAACGGCCTTTTTTTTTTTTACATTTAAATACATGATGGGGGGTGGGACCGATGTTGGTCATTTCACCCCCCCCCATCCTCATCGTTTATTTGGCATAACAAATACAAATTATTTGGTACTTACTGGGACAGTCCCCCGTTTAGTACCTCACATCGTCTTTAACACTGTTGAGGGGCTCTATCCCCTTTAAGTTTGCCTTCGGCATACGTACATTTATAGAACCTTGACTAACGATTTGTAGTTTTCTTTCCTCTTCCTCTTTGACTTTTAGGACATTAGTGATAAAATTCCGTATTGCTTCCCATTTTTCCTCTGACTGTAGCATCGTCTCCACTAGGCTTTCTGGTTTGAGGTCTGCGTCTACCGCGATTTCCAAGTTTCGTCTTTGTGTATAAAATGCAAAATTGTGTGTTCGGCATCATCTATTTGATGGTCACAAAACACGCATGCAGGGGATGCTAATCTCCCAAACCATGTAGGTAGAAAGAAAAGCATCCATGGCCTGTGAGGGCCTGCGTCAGACGGTAGTCCATCATGCCGTGTTTTCTATTGTGCCAACCCTTGATGTTGGGTATAAGTCGGCGTGTCCATCTTCCCTTTTCACTTTGGTCCCAATTTGACTGCCATTTTTCTATTAGTTTATCACCTGCTCCTTCCCTTTCTTCTTCCACCCTCGTGGGCCTTCTGAATTCTGCTGTGAGTTTCGGCGGTGGCATTCCCGAAATGATTTCAACAGCCTCTCTTGACACTGTCCTATATGCCGCAATTACTCTTGGTCATATTTTCCTATTACTCCTGTTTGGTAAGGTCCATCCTTTCCGTCCCATGTGGTATGACCACACTGGTGCGTCATAAAGCATTATGCCACTGAAGTGAGGAGCTTCCTTCTATGAAATTTTGCACCACCGGTGTTTGGCATTATTTGCGTGTCTTTTCGTCGCGTCATCGGCTTTGCTAGCTACTATGCGGGCGTGTTTCTCGAATTTAAGGTTCTTGTCCAAATGAAGGCCAAGATACTTGACCGTCAAAGGAACGGCCTATTGAGTTGATAAATACACTAACCTACCTGTAGCAATCGGATACTTGTCGAGTAAAACGACCTTAAAAACCGGTTAAAGCTGCACTTTACAGTAAAACGAATATAAAACTAGGTAAACGACGTCTCAGAGGTATAACAGTTCATCTGTTTTGTGTCAAATTCGGTGTACAAGTGTACAAATATCCAATTCTAAATTCTAGAGATCGGGTTTAAGTAAATTAAAATACCTACTTTTAGTTTCTCTTTGAAATCAGTAACTAGGAGAGATGTAGTAAGTCAGCGGTGTCGTCGTTTTATTGTTGTCTGTTACGTAGGTATATATTATGTACATCAGATGTAGATACTATAATTTATTACCTACATTAAATTAGGCACCAAACACATTCACAATTTAATTGATTGTCGGTTTCTACTGTTCTTACGATCCGACGCTCATTATTCTATGACGATCAATATCATGATGCCAAAAACCACACATTCGCTTGTTAATTCTCGAGATTGTCATATTCGCTACGAACTACAATAACGAACAAGCCACAATGAAGCTGAAGGATATTGGACAACACTCAGTCAGTTGGCTCGAACCCTTCAATATCTACCATCTGTAAAATCACTACCGTGCAACTTGGCTTCTACTCGAGTCCTGATGCGTTATAGAATAAGAATTAATCAAATAACAACAGACTATCTGGCTTCGTTTTAACATCATCGCTTGAAACAAGCCCAGATTCAAATCATGATTACTTATTCTCGGAGAGTTATATTGCCATGTCCACGCGTGTTATAAGTTAAATTAATAAAATGTGACGACCTTTGGTCTTTTTCTATGTAATATATTTGTATGCATTGATTGTATTGTATATTTATGGGCTTTTGGCTTTATTATATAAAAATGTATACAGAAGTGTTCAGATGGTGAATTAAATAAACATTTCTGCGAGGAGACCCGTTCTTCGGGCCTACAGGATCTAATCAAAAATGGATTTGTGGAGTTTGCACTTTACATCGCTACTACAACTTTTACCGTCACTTGGATCCGAATTTATTTTTAATTCATAGAAACGCTGAATATTTTCGTAAATAAAAACATAACACTTGGCCATTTTGTGTTGAAATTATTCAACTCCTCCATTTCAACAGTCTGTATGACAAGGGATTGTCACAAGCCGATATGTATCATTTAACATTAAATTTACTAGAACTAACTATATAGTTGATTAGTTGGTTATTTTTTCAAACCTATATATCCTAAATTATAAATGCAAGATCAATCATCACAGGATTTTATGAAGTGCAGCGAGCGATCATTACCTAGGTTACAGAAGCGTAGAAAATAGTAAATATAAATTGTATTAAGATTCAGATTATTTAATGTGATCACTAATTACTAGTTCCATACTTCACGAATACGTTTGATGAAATTCGTAGTTCAATTTTCTTTAATAATAAGTATATTATTCGGTGGGTGACAACATTTCGGGTGCAGTATATAATATAATAGTGGTTTAAAAATTCGATCGAGTAGTAGAGTATCAAAAGCAACGATCCTATTTTTATTATAAGTGGTTATTCATTTTTTATACCTATAAAGAGGATGTTACTATATCTGCATGTGTTGTCTCCGTCTTGCAAACATACCTACAACAAAAACTTATTTTCAATAAAACTCATATTTTTGCCAACTTTAATATTGTAGCGAATTGCGTATTATTTAACTTTAAAATAGGAATATTATTTAATACGTGTCATCTGTTTCTTTTGATATTTTAATTTTCAAGCAAGTTTTGAATATTTTTATATATAGTATTAATGTATTATAAAATATAAAATACTCATAAATTTATTTGAACATTTAAATATCACAAAAACCAATGAGAAGACAAAGATTATTTTCTTGCCTTTAAGTTTGATAATAACAATAGCCAATGATTATAGAATGGTCTATTCTATAATCAACGATAATTAGCCTGATATTTGACTAATTGGGTTAACACAAAATTGGAACTACGGAACATAAGTTATGTTAGTAAAACAAAAACAATATGTTTGGGTATGAATTCCTGTCATATATACGTATTATATATATATATAATGTATGTATATATGCATGCATGTATTCAAATACCCTTATATTAAACGTAATTCGCAATGGCTAATTAAAAATGTGCGAAGTCATTATCCGTTTTGTGTTTGGTCTCCTCCATCGCCCTGGATAATATTATGAAAGGTACAACAGATATAATTTAATGTATAATAACAAAGAAGGTAAACACATTTTAATTAAAAATAATCTTTATTAATTACAAAACATACATTTCGAATCTCGTCAAAATGAAGGCATACGCTTTTTAAACAAGGCCATAATTTGAATTTTTCATGGGCTTAAACATCAAATAATTCCAACATGAATAATATATTATTAGATACTATTTAAATAATTTAATGTTTTAATTAAGATTCATTAAAATTATGGCCTTGCTATAGATATAATTAATTTATAATTATGTACTTAAGTATATTGATTAAAATAATAATCTTAACAAAAATATGATAACATTTAGAATTTAAATACCAAAGTTATATTTAAATTCGATATCAATGCTTATGATTATTTAAAAGACATTTAATCAATAATTTTACATTGTTTATCTACTGTATCAAAAATAAATATTAGTTTTTAATTATAGTTCAAATAATTCTTTAATTTATCATATTATTTTAACAGTCTAATTCTGTAATAACCAATTTAAAATTATCTTTTAATACCCATGTAAAAATATAATTTTTTTACTAGTTAATTTAAAACAAAAGATCGATATATATATATATATATATAAACTTTAACATACCCCCTTCATTGTTTGTAATTTACTTTGATTACTAAATTAGTGATTAGTGTGATTACATACAGTAAAGTTGTAATACTATCAACATAACTGTATAATCTACAAGAAAACACTTTTTGGTTTTCAACCTCTTAATTATTATAGTAATAGGCAATTTGAATATAACAAACAAAAATTAACAATTTTAGTTAAATTGCTTTAGAATTTAGATAGTTTTTCGATGCAATTATAAAAACAGTAGTAGATAATAGATATACAAATAATTATACATTAGACTTAAAGTAAATTATATAATAAAACATACTTATTTATTTGTATTGTTTAAAACATGCAATGTGAGTAATTATTAATAATATTCATTAGAATAACAACTATTCATGTCATAAACATTTACTAATTAAATATATAAATAAATAGAAAATAATATTATAATTTAAATTTCATTAAAAATAAAGATGAAGTTAAAGATTAAATGATAAAAACCAATGTATAATGAACAATACTATTTTAATGATTTATAATAATTTTGATTAAATAATCTAAAATCTAGTTAAAAACGATGATATTTTTTTAAGTGGGGTAGTGCCAATCAGATTTCTGAAACAGAAAATTTTCATACATTAAAAATATGATCAATTACATAGTTTTTATATTAGTAGAAATTCAATCTTTCAACTATATATATAGTTAAAATTATAAAAATAAAATACAATATTGATTCATATTATAAAATTAACTGTGCAAATCTAATGCAATAATATAATACCCATAAACTCTAATTATATATTTTTTAAATATTAGCTTTATAAACTTAAATCTGTCAGTAGAGCTGTATAAAAAGTAGCATAAATTTTGTTTCTCCTTCCCTTGCCTTCCTAAAAATACAAGTTATTGTAAAACCAAAAGATGCTAAAAACTGGCTCACTCCCAAACTGCTGTTGAATTTTAATTTCCATATTCCACAACAAATTAATTAATATTTACCATTTTATTTCTCGTATCAGAATCCAGGTGATTTGGCATGTTAGGTAGTTGTGCATCAGGCAAATCTGGTGAAACCTATACAATATTTATATATTTTAATTTATATAACAAAACTTCAAAAAACTATGTTATTAATGCTTTTTAAAAATAGAAGTATTTTAAATATAGTCTATACTGTTTAGTAATCTTTTCGATTAATCTCTGTAATTTTATGTTCTTGGCAAACCTATATACTTTCATTTTTTTTGCCCTAATTTCATTTTTGCTAACTGTTAAACAAAAATCATCATATTAATTTTTTTTCTTATACTGCACTTTTCATTTTTTTAACTAACTACGCCTCTCCTTTTCTGTCTTTATACTATTATAATCTAAGGTTTCTTACTTGAAACTAGTTTCTGTACCACATTACACCTCCGTCGTCTATTCTTATTTTGCAGAATTTTGCCTATATTCTCACTAACAATATCAATTACCATACTTTGAATTATATTTGGTGCTCTATTTCAAATTTTGATTATATCTTACTCAATGTTAGACTTTAATAAAATTTAAATTTAAAGTAATAATTAAATAATCTAATATAGTAATGATGATAATTACCTGAGGATTATATTCATGAGTTTGTAGGTTATTTTGGTTCAAAAGACTATTTCCATGATTATAAACATTATATCTGTTATTTAAATCTTGAATATAGGCGTTATTAATTGATGCCATAGTTGCTGTAATATTTCTTATTGTATCTTTCGGTATTGGTTGTACATGATTTGTAGGACGTGTAAGTAAATTTACAAGCTGAGAATGTTCATTGATTATTAGACTATTCTCATTACATGACGACTGCAAATACGATGAGGTAGAATCCATGTATGGTTGTAAGTAAGCACATTCATTGCACGAAGGGTCATTATACAAATTTTTATGAATGTTTGTTGTATTTGTTACATTTAATGGACACGAATTTGCTGTTTTCAAAGATTGTGAATTCATGGCAGTCGATTGTTGATAAAGATTTGGAGGCCATTTATTTGAAGATACTGGAGGTAGAGTAGTTTTTGACAATTGTGAATTTATATTAACTGGTAGATATGTATTCATTGAACTTGAAGTTTGTTTAGCAATTGACGAACCTATTTGGCAGTTAATTGGAACTTGAGTAGATCCGGTAGAAATATTATTATAATATGGACTTAAATATTGAGGAACTGTTAACGAACGTGAATCTTGAGGAAATGTTGATGAACTTGAATTTTGAAGGAATGTTGATGAATTTAAATGTTGAGGAACTATTGACGAATTTGAATTTTGAGGTATTGTTAACGAACATGAATTTTGGGGTAATGTTGATGAACTTGAATATTGAGGTATTGTTAACGAACTTGAATTTTGAGGAACTGTTAACGAACGTGAATTTTGAGGTTGTGTTGATGAACTTGAATATTGAGGTATTGTTAACGAAC